TGTTAATGACAGTCACTGTATCATGATCTCAAATGTTACTTTGAAGTGATAAAGAAATTAAAATATACACTTTCAAATGTAACCCATCACTGTTCGTGTTTTGATTCGTAGATTAATTTCTGTAGTTCACACGTATCACGATAAGACATTAATATTTAATCACAGTTATCTATTTTCTTCTCTTATATAATTATCTCTAATTACAAGCGAGTGGCATTCGGATAAGATTGGTTTAAAAATTGACATCACTGTAATGGCAATTCTATAAATCACCGTCCCTGATCAAGGTACTAGCTTCCTATGATGACGTGGTGCTCTGAGTGCAAGTATACGTGTTTGCCTGAGAATATTATCTTTGACGTGGGTAGTTTATGTTGTTTGCTTGAGATGTATCTATATTGACATGGTAATCTGCGCATATAATCTTTGACGTGGTTACTATATATTGTTTGCTGGAGATGTACGTTATGACGTGATAACTGCAATATAAAGTTTACTGAAGAATATCAATATTGACGTGGTAACTATGTTGTGTGTCTACTAGAGAGTATCACTAAAATTCTATGTGGCAATGTAGTGATTCTGCTTGTTTAACCATAAAATTCCTTTCGTTGAAAGTATCATTATTTACGTTAAAACTGCAGTATATTGTTTGTTTGCTGGAGAGTATTGTTATTTTGACGTGATTACTACATTATATAGTTTATCTAAAAGTATCACCTTTGACGTGATAACTATGGTGTTTGCTTAAGAGTATCACCTTTGGCGTTGTAACTATAGTGTTTGCTTAAGAGTATCACCTTTGACGTGGTAACCATAGTGTTTGCTTGACAGTATCACCTTTGACGTGGCAGCTAAAGTTTTAACTTGAGAGTATCACATTTGACGTGGTAACTATGTTGTATGCTTAAGAGAATCAATTTTGACGTGGTAACTATAGTGTTTGCTTGATAGTATCACCTTGGAGAGATAACTATTGTGTTTGCTTAAGAGTATCGCCTTCGAAGTGATAACTATGGTGTTTGCTTAAGAGTATCAATTTTGACGTGGTAACTATGGTGTTTGCGTAAGGGTATCACATTTGAGCGATATCTATGGTGTTTGCTTAAGGGTATTACCTTTGGCGTGGTAACTATGTTGTTTGCTTAAGGGTATCACCTTTTTAGGGATAACTATGGTGTTTGCTAAAGAGTATCACCTATGGCGTGGTAACTATAGTGTTTAATTAGGAGTATCACCTTTGACGTGATAACTATGGTGTTTGCTTAAGGGTATCACCTTTGACGTGACAACTATGGTGTTTGCTCAATAGTATCAAAGTTGACGTGGTAACTACGTGTTTTTTGTTTGCTTAAGAGTATCACTGTTAACTTGATAGCCCCTGTTTAACTATAAAATCTAACGAATAATATAATAATAACAATCAGTTAATTCATTATTAGTGAATCATAATATAATTTTTCAACAATACATTTTAACATGAAAACAAATTCATAGAAGTTAATCAAACATATTGTTTTAACGTACGTTCATCCTATTAACTTTTAAGGAACAAATCTGAAATTTTACTGCAGTAACATTTCGAAGCAAGGCATTTAAATTCGGACTCCCTAAACGTTATAGTAGGCATTGCACATTTTTCATATATATATATATCAATGCACATAATTGATAATTCATTTTAAAGTTATTTTGGCATTCCCCCTCAAACCCATCCGCCTTTGGGATAAATAAAAAACTGAAATTTGGCAACTTATATCGCACAAAAAGAAAAGCTCTCAGAGAATTTGGCCCATATTCATGAAACCGGTATCATGAATTCTGTGCTAAAACCAACATTTTATAACTTGCTTAGATAATGTGACAGGGTCAAACAATCAAGTCTAGACATTAAAAACGGTATCTTGCTTTCCTGTGTCAAACATTCTTACCAATTAACAACAAAATGTCCATTGATATTAATGTGTCACAGGAACAAGAAATTGTGTTTGAGAACTGAATCCGAGTTTAAGCACGAGAACTGGTTTATGAACACAGGCCCTGGACAATTAAAAAAAAATTAACGTGACAAAGATAAAAGAGTACACAAGGTTATGAAACCTTCAAGTCCGATTGATAAAAAGTTCATCAACTTAACAGGTAAACAAAATTGTTTAGATATATAAAATAAATATTTGAATAAAAACTAATTTAGTGTTTTAATTAATGAGACAACATAGCATTTGTATTAATGGATCCATATATTAATTTATTTAATAGGTCCATATAATGTTTAAATTAATGGGTTCATATAATGTTTAAATTAATGGGTCAATATAGTATTTTCATTAATTAAAATTATTTTAATATGATTAGAAATCAATTCTAGGTCACAGAAAATAAAACAACATACCTCTACAGTATAATTATCATATTTCACGAATGGAAAAATACACAATTAAATATATAGTTTATACTGAGAATTATATGTGCTTGTGTTAAAGATGAGTTCCTGCTGTTACTGTATTTTATAGCATTGCTGACATGTATATTTAATTGTAATGCATTTAAACGGGTATACAGCTTACGAACGCTTTATGACACGTTGGTAACCTGATAATGATTTACCTAACCTGGACATGTAGAGTCAATTTATACATATACTACCATGTATTACATCCGTTTCATTATTCCAGCGAGCTAAATAGACAGGGTACACGTACAGATGATAGTTATCTGATTATATGTAGCTACATATTTATGGACCCAAGTTTATATGAAAGCATTCGATAGTTCTTGGGGAGTTACCTTAAGCATTGCTTTCACTGAACACATTTCATGCTGGAAACACAATCATACTGTATTTTATCGTAACATAAGTTAAATAAATCCGAAAATCCTATGCTTTCTGATAGCTGGTGTTTGTGCGGAAACAGTACATTGAGTGAATGATTCCACTGACCACAAGTGTTTAAATAAATCAAGCGTTCCTGTTGGTTACACATTGCTGATCTTGTACAATTTAATCCATATTGATGTCGTCGTCAGATTCACTACACATTTGTGGCTGAATTGTGTTCTTCTTAGTCCCGTTATATACACAAACATATAATTCAATTATGACTTTTTTCTCAATGACAAACTTTAGGCTATAACGTGTAACAAAAAAACCCCGACAACACCAAAAGTGTTACGAAAGTGAGTTTTGCGGTAAATAGATTCATAAAATTAGTCTTTTTGTTAATAAACCGCTTTTTCGGTTTTATGAAAGTGCACAAAGATTTTGTCGGTGTATACCGTAAAATCCCCCAAAATCTTGGTAATACATAGCACATGTTTATACTTGTGTTTGTTATGAAAAAACCCTGCATATTAACAAACATGTGTATGAAACAACCGAAATATTAGCACAGTAGTGTTTTCATGATACAATGTAACTTAAACGTTGAAAAATCAGTCTTCCAAATCACCGGAACGAAATGTTGACAATGGAGTCCAGAGAATAAAAGCTTGGATAAGAAAGCTATATGTCATAACATACCAATGTACGGACATATGTGGGTATAGTTGGATATCAGGAGGATGTTTGCCATGTCTTCAGGTATCACTGTTTTGATTTTGTCCTATCATCTCCCGATATCACGTGACTATGTGATCATGGTGTCTGATGTATGCGTTTCTGTTGATGGAAAGAAGATAACACGTTTAGGGAATGACATGATTATGATCCTTGAAGGGAAGGCTAACTGGTATATAACAAAATCATAATGATCATAGAGAAACAAATTAGTTGGTGCATGTTTCACAGTCCAGTTCATTCCGTTAGGTATATCACAAAGTGACACAGCAAAGGTATTCGGTCCATTGGACTGCTAATATAAACGTGTTTGATAATCCGTTTCTCAGTCTAAGAACGGTTGCATCCATATTGCCTGCCCCTGTAAATATTCAGTGTGATTCCACAATTTTTCAAACGTGATCAGATCATTATCATCGTCAATGGGTTGATACAGCTTCCATTTTCCATGTAAGAATTGTTGCTAATCGTAAGTGATGCTCCGCCCCTTTTCACACGAGGGCGTGCCATTGTGTTATCTGGTCCTTTTGATTGGCTACCATCTCATTCCAGTGATCGAGTTCCTTACCGCGCGAAAACATAAACGATCCAAGAATCACCCGACCGAGGACCTTGTCTGAAAAATAGAAATTAGCCAATAATATTAAACAAATAGCAGTATGGTAGGTAATACATGTACACCAAAAGATGATATAAACAGGAACCACATTTTAATGTTCATTTTTAATCGATTCGAATCTACAATAGTTTTGGATCAATCATTATTAAAATTGAAAGGAACTAGTTTTTTGTTTCAAAATTGTATCACCAATTAAAAACTTATGTTTTTGTTTTGTTATGTAGTACTACGTTGTATCAGCGCTGAAATTAATTGAACTCCCGGATCTGAACGTTAAAGAAACACTGTATATGAACGTAAATAATGACATGTTTTGGCTCACTGTCAATCAATGTTTCCTTGAAAGCGGGATAACGTAATTTAGTCAATCCATTATCAGTTTTTGATGTTTTCTTATCATCCCCGTTCTTCCTGTACTGACATCTCCTTATTCTGTCATTCATCAATAAAATATACTATTCCAAACACTTGTGTTCGTATGATATGAATGTGAATACGGTATGCATCAATGAAAAACGGGAAGGAATTGACTGCAGTATAACCCATTTACAGTATAACCCATTTACAGTATAACCCATTTACAGTATAACCCATTTACAGTATAACCCATTTACAGTATAACCCATTTACAGTATAACCCATTTACAGTATAACCCATTTACAGTATAACCCATTTACAGTATAACCCATTTACAGTATAACCCATTTACAGTATAACCCATTTACAGTATAACCCATTTACAGTATAACCCATTTACAGTATAACCCATTTACAGTATAACCCATTTACAGTATAACCCATTTACAGTATAACCCATTTACAGTATAACCCATTTACAGTATAACCCATTTACAGTATAACCCATTTACAGTATAACCCATTTACAGTATAACCCATTTACAGTATAACCCATTTACAGTATAACCCATTTACAGTATAACCCATTTACAGTATAACCCATTTACAGTATAACCCATTTACAGTATAACCCATTTACAGTATAACCCATTTACAGTATAACCCATTTACAGTATAACCCATTTACAGTATAACCCATTTACAGTATAACCCATTTACAGTATAACCCATTTACAGTATAACCCATTTACAGTATAACCCATTTACAGTATAACCCATTTACAGTATAACCCATTTACAGTATAACCCATTTACAGTATAACCCATTTACAGTATAACCCATTTACAGTATAACCCATTTACAGTATAACCCATTTACAGTATAACCCATTTACAGTATAACCCATTTACAGTATAACCCATTTACAGTATAACCCATTTACAGTATAACCCATCTACAGTATAACCCATTTACAGTATAACCCATCTACAGTATAACCCATTTACAGTATAACCCATCTACAGTATAACCCATTTACAGTATAACCCATCTACAATATAACCCATTTACAGTATAACCCATTTACAGTAAAACCCATTTACAGTATAACCCATTGACAGTATAACCCATTTACAGTATAAACCATTTACAGTATAACCCATTTACAGTATAACCCATTTACAGTAAAACCCATTTACAGTATAACCCATTTGCAGTATAACCCATTTGCAGTATAACCCATTTACAGTATAACCCATTTACAGTATAACCCATTTACAGTATAACCCATTTGCAGTATAACCCATTTACAGTATAACCCATTGACAGTATAACCCATTTACAATATAACTCATTTACAATATAACCCATTTACAGTATAACCCATTTACAGTATAACCCATCTACAGTATAACCCATTTACAGTATAACACATTTACAGTATAACCCATATACAATATAACCCATTTACAGTATAACCCATTAACAGTAAAACCCATTTACAGTATAACCCATTTATAGTATAACCCATTTACAGTATAACCCATTTACAGTATAACCCATTTACAGTATAACCCATTTACAGTATAACCCATTTACAGTATAACCCATTTGCAGCATAACCCATTTACAGTATAACCCATTTACAGTATAACCCATTTACAATATAACCCATTTACAGTATAACCGATTTACAGTATAACCCATTTACAGTATAGCCCACCTACAGTATAACCCATTTATAGCATAACCCATTTGTAGTGTTAATGTATATATTTTGTAACGACATTTTTATGCACGCGTCATTGTAACGTAAGCACTGAAAAGCAAAAAACACACAAAACCAAAATCGTTTCATATCTTATACACAACAGTGTAGCAAACATGGATATTAAGGATGGCTGCATGACAAAACGGTTAGTGTTTAAATCCTCATCCAACCGCTTATCAAAAACCGTTCAATTCAATAAACGGCAATCAAGGTAGTGGAACTAGTGACTACACACCTTATATCGGTTTATATCGTCAACACGTGACGTCATTGAAACTGAAGGATAACCCAAGTTTAAATTATAAAACGCTACATATATCTGTTTGTCGAGTTAAAGGTCAAGATACTAAAATATAAGCTTGCTGAACGAATCTGCTATTCTTGTTTACGACACGGATCCAAAAGTTACATTTGCCAGTAGTTAAGCTGGGCAGGCTTTTGGCAATAGGTCCAATTCGATTACAATTTTATTCAGACGAAAGCATTTTACGGTCGAAGCATTTGTTTGAGTTACGTCAAATCAGTCGAGATCGTCAACCGATATTTCAAATTTCATGTCGGACTAAATAGCATTGATACGCTGTTCTAGGCTTACTTGATGCTATCGATGACAAATGTATATATTACGCCACGACTTCCAGTAGAGGTTTTGTTGATGCTGTTTGTAAACTAGAAATTCCCAGTGTCTACTTATTGGTACAAGATGATATCAGAAATAATCATAATATTGACTTTGATTCTCTCCTTCTTTTTATTGAATTTTAGTTTGCAACACGAATTTACTTATCGAAACTGACAAACACTCCCTTGCATTTATTGATGAATGCAAATATCAAATATGACTTATCTTGATATGTCAAGCGTGCCCTTCCTATAAATGTTTATTTACGGACGATAGCTTGTTTTCAATTTCTTTAGTATACAACAGGTATATATGTCAACATGGTGTTCATGTCTACTATATTGAACAAAGCAGTTTTCGTTTTAACTAGGTTTTCCGGAACCAGGTTGCGTTTTTTTTAAAGTTTTTGTAGCAGTACTGTTACATTTGAATATAACTACGAAACCAGTCTATATTTCTAGAAAACACGGTAGACGTTGAACATTCCTTATTCCATGTTCGTTTATATTGTCCATTACTGGTTCAATAACTGATTTCAAAAATAAGCGTACTGAAGTAAAAACTAAAACCAAAAAAAAAAAGCAACGATAAAAACAATACATATGTTTAATAAGGCATTCTAAACACATCTAATTGAAACAAGAAACTAATGCTGAGACATTGACAAGAGCCCAGGTGTAAATTCATCATTAGAGAATCATTAACTGTACATTTATTGGCTCAGTTACAAACCGTTTTGACACATTCCAAACTACTCAAACATGCGCAAACGGGAAGGTAACACGCATTGGTCCTCTACTTTCCTTGGATTTCAAAATCAGGCCCCTATACTGAATCCGTAGAATCTTGCGAACAACATTTCAATCATTTGGCTAAGTGAGTCATCCCATATTTACGTTCAACATTACTGATACAGAACTTTGTGTGTAGGCACAAATTCAACCCCAGGGAACCAATTTGTGCCAACTCCTGTAAAGGATTTTGTTCGTTTAATTTGAACTGTTCTCAAAACAACGTCTCAATAGATTTTTGAATTATGACACATGTAATTCCTGTTAACAGGTGTTTATATATGTATATATCTAATGTACATCGCTGTTGTTTGCAATGCTTTTCGTATTTCAGTGTGCGATATAGAGTAAGGGGTGACACCTAACTATCTGTTATCACGTGGTCATCTTTAAACACAGCCTGTCTCCCGCTGGAGGGCACAGATTGTTGAGCTATTTTGGGCATAGCTACAGTTTATTTCTGGCTTCCTGAAGAGATGAATCTGACCACTGTGGACAGTTGCTACAGGTCATCTCATTATCGACTGTATGAGCTTCGTTAGTAGAGATATATTATCTGTACCTGGCCAGCAATAACTGACGATATGAATATTTTAAAGCTTCTTCTTTTACACTTGAAACTTGTTGTTCACAAAATATTGACTGGGCGCGTGACGGTACAAGTAAATAAAAATGTATAACAAATCATCATTTAATAAATTAAACACCACCGTTTTAAACAGAAAGTAAATACGATATTTTGAAATTATTAAAATAAAACATGTATGATGATAATACTTAAATCATCCGAATCCATCATTAATGTTTGGATACCTCATATCTTGATGTATACGTAGAGTGTTTCTTATGATTGGAGCCGACTTAGTACTTATACACTAATGCCCTAATACAGAATCATCTGGTCATTTCCTGTCCTTTGTTCTTCATTCAGATCATTAAACAATTCGGCTATAAAACGGTGAATGGAATATGTTTTTCCAACGAGCAAATCGTTTTCTCTTTTAAACGAGAGAAGCTCTTTTGACTTGACGAGGATAGGGAACACAGCGCTATGTAGAGCGAAGCATTCGAGGTAAGTATCCGTACAAAATGTCTGTCAAAACAAGAACGGTCGTCGATCAGGCAGCAGTACTGTCTGAGGGGGACATCGATCACAGGAATCTGTTGGGGTGGACCATATATCTTAATAAGATCATTTATTGTAAGGTTGAACTGTATCAAGTTCAATGATTCTTTAAAAACTACTGAAAATCAATGAAAATGGTATACACCATTACTCAATATAAATAATTCGATAAATTCTTTAAATGTCATGGTGTACAATAAAGAAATGAGATGAGTCTTTTGTTGTGTTGTCGTTGGAGCGGGAGTTGTTCGTACATGTATACATGTATCTGTGGACGTCAAGTATGAGTGTTGAGAGAAGAAATTTTGATACGGTATAAATCATACCGGTACATAATTAAATGTTTGTGTTCGACAGGCATTGGCGATATTGTGTCCACCACCGAACCAAGTAAATATTCAATCATAGCTGAATAGCTAGGCTAGTTCACATTTTTTTTAAGTACAAATGGTTTGAATGACCTTTATTAATGACCCATCTGAGATCGATAATTGATAAACGTCGAGTTTCACATGGTTCCGTTGAATTTAAGGGAAGTAATGTAGTCTGCCTTATTATACCTCCTGCTAAATGTGGACATCTTTTGATTCTTTATCTTAAATAGGGATTGAAAAGAATGTTTGAAAATACGGGAGAGGTGGGTTTATTAGACAAATGTAGTTCCTGTTAGTTACCCTGGTGACATAATGCTCCCGACTCAGTGTGCTAACAGCGCACCAGCACTGTCAGGCAATATTTTTCTCTGATATTTACTACAAATGAAAAGAAAGACAACATCTAGGAATGCATTCTTCAATAATTAACACACGTTCTCGAATATATTTTTGAAACAGGATCTGGAAACATGCTTCAGCCTATCGACGGTAGAAATAAGCTTATTAAATTGGTGCAAATGTATCTTAAAACGAATGTATCATGCTTCATTAAAGGTCAACTCTAATAGATTTTTTTTTTTTTTTAAATTATTTTTGCACTTCGAGGGTTTAACAAGAACATATTCAACCGAGATTAATTCTGAATACCAAGCACTCAAACATTTACCATAATGTCTAATAAGATGAAAAAGTTTTATGAAACCGGAATCTATCTTGTTTATTGGTGGTCCAAGCCTGTGTTCTATACCGTTTGAGTGTTGACAGACAGTCAATGGGATGCCATCATCTACATCTCGTTTGAAGGCTGTGCCTTCGAGGAGAACATGAGCGAGGAGAGGCATTGCATAGCTTTTATTGGATATGCGTCTTCCTTCGTCGCTGTGACATGTAGCAAATCCCGTTTGCACATACACTTGAAATCTGACACTCATTAAACTGACGTCAGCAAATATACACGGTCTATGTACATATTTGTATAACATCAGACAATGAGGAATCGTATGCAAGGATATGAGATTTGATCGCAATAAAATAGCACTTTGTACACTTGCCCTAGATGTACTGGTATGGTCAACACTCTGCGTGATATAGAATGACTGTGTTATTTCTATCAACACTTAGTTGGAATTAAGGATTTTGACAAAACTGCACGCACTAATCCATTAAAGGATGGATAAACCAAGCAGTGCTAGAACAAATCAATATAAAAGCAAAGTACTATTACGACACATGTATTCATGTAGAATATTGTCTCAAAAATCTTAGATTCTGTTCTTCTTCTCTCGAAATCAAAAGCGAATAATGAAGTTTAGACAAACCATCATTGGCAGCCATGCTATCGTTCCTGGATACTTAATATCGACGTGGTAGCGTTGTTACGCGGCGACCACAAGGGGCCACTTAACACTCTACTCGAGAATAAGTAGGAACGACAAACTTCGTAAACAGTCTCGTAAAAGTGAAATTCAGATGATAGTTATGTTCTTAAATTCTTAGCGGAGTCATTGCTTTCGAGCAGCACAAGTACACGTGAACATGTTGTACTTGATGGAACGGGAGGAGAAGGGGTAGGGAGAGGGGGACGCTGGGAGCTCTCCACTCAGCATCTACGTTAATATGTACTTGTTTGGACGTATCATGGCGTCACAAGATTCATTCAGGGGATTTTTTTGTTTGTTATTTTTTTCAGATAAACGAATTGTGAAATATTGAAGGTTTTGTAAAAAATTTTTTTTTCCAATTATGATCCGTTGTTTTGCATCTGAATTTATACATCGTTAGAAGAAATATTGTGTATTTACTTAGATCTTTCTCTGCCTCATTATATGCCTTGTCAAGGATAACTGTGCAGTGTTGATTTCCATATTCTCTTTATCACTGACGACCAAACATCTCAACTAATCCAATCCATTGTGCATTGTTTTTGTTTATTGCACATTTCAAATGTATTAAGCCAACGCAAATTTATGCAAGGCTTCTATTGACACAGTGGAATGACGTGGGGTCTCGCACCAGATGAACCGGAGGTATGGATTAATAAGACATGTCATCGTGTGTGGTGCAGACAGAGAAATCGTCAACCGAATAGAACATTGTCGTGTACTGTGCCCCGAGTGATGATATTCCGACGTCTCCCTCATGCAGTGTTGACAGATTACTCTTCTCTTACACTTCCTTAAGCAGAACAAGTCGTACAAACTTCTAGCTATTTCACAGAGAGTGATTCGCGTCTCTGTCAAAGGTTTCAGACAGAGAAAAATACCCCACCAGTAATCTGTACGGTTCACCACACCTCGACCAGTGCCGAACTTGTCTAGGATAACCAATGGCATTTTCTTAACCAGACGAGGAGGTTTCGAAATATCACAGTCCAGTACGATTATTAAAGATGAAACAACCTATCATACGTTTAGTTCACGTAAATCCTATAGGTACTGCCATGTTTTCATAATAAATAAACATTTACTGCTTTTAGCAGGCTTTATAACATTTTAGAAACCCATAAACGGTTGTGCATGCACGATACAAAACCATTTTTCTATTATTTTTTTAATTAGTTTCAACATGCAATTACAACTAAAAACATTATTTTTAAAGAATGGGTTTATAGATATTTTAAACAATTGTCTTATTCGATCCTCGTAAATGTTCTAAAACCTCTACATGTTAACTTAAAACCAACTGTGGATGGTCTCGGAGACACAATGTTCCTAAACATTTTCATGTTTTACAAGTAAAATTCAAGCGTGGGACTGGTAATATTTGAGATCGAAACGGGGTAACCGTCTCAGCACTTGATTATATGGTTGTTTAGAAGTGCTCGATACCGTCACATAGTGTTTATATTCATAAAAGGCAATATGTTAAAGCAAATGATAGGGATACATGTTGATGAATGAACTAGTGCTTTGATTCTAGCTACAGGGGAACTGCTACTGAACCAATCACGTCAAACAAATCATCTCCAATGACATTCGGAACATCGTAAGTCCAATTTTGCCTTTCGCTTCATGATCTTCTGAAGTCAATTTGCGATCTCAAGAAAGAGATTATATGTAAATAACAGAGGAACAAAGTAAATGTCTGTCTCATTTACATTACCGATGGTTGGATTCCTGTATAACGTAGACTAGCATCCAAAGAAGACAATGGACGATGAATGAGAAGTTGTCTTGTGTGTTGTATGGAAAAGAATGTCATCAATACAAATCATGTTTTGCACATTATTTCTTGGTGTAGAGTTCGACATTTATCCAAAACACGACCATAGTCAACGCCCATATTGATTCGATGAATTAGTTGTATGGTTACTTCAAGTAAATATCGTTACAAATGGGGTACTAGTGGTACACCTCTAAAATTACCTACATGTTATCTTTGGCAGAAGGGATGTATTTCACCCTTTATTCCAAACATGGTCATTCTATTGATTGACATGTATTGAGTCATGTTTACTTACCTTTGTGCCCACTGATGTGCTGTATGGCCGTTATATTTAGACTTGCTGCGTCCAGATTGGCAACGGGCAGTTTGAAGGTAAAGGATTCACTAAAATTAGGACAGTCTGACTTTTTTATCACTTCCGTTTTCTTCGATTTGACCACACGATTCTGCACGTGTAAACACACTTTCACGAAGAAATCTGAAACATTGAAACATTTAAAACATGTTTTTAATCTTGCGGTTTAAGTAAAAATAGAAATGAAATAGACAATGGCCAATCGATGTACTGGAACATTTATAGTCTGCTGTGGCTGTCGTCCTTCCATAAACCTAATTTTTTTTTATGATAAATGAATCATTTTGTTCATCGAAATAAGATCTCATGTGTGGATTTTGAGGCCAGAACCTCGGAAAGCCTCCACATTCTACTTCATCGGGCAGATTATTTCCTTATACATTTTACTGATATGTGATAGACCATATAAACCGTACATTATCGTTTTTTATGGTATATCTCTTTTATAAAACTTTGAAGCGTCAAGCAAGAAGTAACAAATAACATAAAAAGCAAAATTATTTTGAAGCTTGATTGCAATCAATACCAAACTGCTGCAGTCTTTACGATCTGACATTCATTCCGCTCCGACAACTAGTGGTTATTTGATCGGTCAATTTCATGATTGCCTTAAGTTTGAGTATTTTTCACGTGCATCAAATTGCACGAGAATGACGCCGTAAAATCAATCTATGGCTTCACTAAAATGCAAAGTTATGTAAACATACTACAGTCACGGGAAAATCACGCGAGATGTGATTTAATGGATTAAAGGAGATAATCAATGAACAATGTATATAGCCGCCGGCTTTTACGGTCACCGCATTCCGATTTTTATTTATTTGATTGATGCTAGTTCCGTTATGTATCCAGTATCTTGTCACAGCGTACGTGACTTCAGCATCTCTCTTTAATGAGCAGAAACAATCTTGCATATACTCTAGACGCGTTTATTGCGTCCTAAACTCCTTAACCATTCACTATCTAATGAATGTCTTACGTTTGAGATACTGTTTCGTCATTTAACTGTTTATCGGAAACATTAAACAGCGCAACGGCGAAAAGAGAACATTATTGTAAAAACTGTTTGATGCACGTTTCAATCGGTGAATAAAACCACGCAACTTGGCAACAATAAAGGCACATTGTATATTTGGATGGAATGGGATTTACTCTAGAACAAACTGATGTACAGTAAATGTAATACTTTTCGTTTTGTTTGTATTAAAGTCGTTCTTATTTTGTGTACTACACTATTTAGTACGCTGGCGGTACCGACAAAATGCGAGACACTAACAAGATCAAAAATGTTACCCAGGCGACGTATTCAAAGCCATACGAGTAAATAGACATATATATCAAATGGAGAAAAAGGCGACAGGGGAACATATTAAACAAATCTAGTAGTATGTATTATCTGCCATCTTGTTGCACTGTATAAGATATCTGTCAAATTCTCCTTTATGCATTTTGTGTTACATTCACTGTTCCCTAACTTTTGGTACAAGCTAATAGTACTTAACCATACCATCATCAGGACCCCTATTGGTCACATTGCGTGGTCAATCGGTCTCATTGCGTGGTCAATCGGTGCGTACTCGTGAGATCAACGCCAACAATGGCAAACGAAAGACGGATATATAATCACCGGCGCCACTTCCTGTATACTGTATACTACATTGGCGCCAGCATACATTCAGAACGTCTCGAGATTTTTCATTTGTTTCCATGTGCTATTGATCCAATGTGTGAACTAGTTTAGTACCACATGAATATGTATTATCTTCATCTTTATGATAGTTTTCTTTTACTTATCGTCCTTTACTGAATTAATTTGCGGTTGTCATTCCAATTATATAAAGTTCTGAAGAGTGACCACTAGGTCACGTATGGTATTGTTATAATCCTACCACTTGTTCCTTCCGCTTTCAGTGCACGTCCCTCGAACACTCCAACCGTTAGTCTCTCCAAATGGTTGTTGTAGGATAAGGATACGAGAAGCTCACCCTTGTTGGTCACGGTCTGTCAATAGGAAAGAGCTAATATAAGTAAATGTAACCAGAAATCAAACCTGATGGCCCTGTATAATATACAACATGTTATATTTGTATATGGATTATTGTGAAAATAAGCAGTTATGATAAAAGACATTCCCAAGCCGGTTACCTATCCCAACTGTCTTTCCCTCCGTCCCTAGCTAACTTCGAGATATGATGAAATGGCTACTTTGCCTAACTCCCTTTCCTGTCCTTCACCCCTATGCCCTAGCCTGGATACATATATTACAAAGATCTTTGAAAAATTTGTTATAAATACATGTATCACTTATGTACCAAAAGTAGATATTCTAGAATTTTAGGAGAAACTACCTGACACATAGGAGAGAGGAAGTAAACATGAACAGTTTTTGGGGAAGAAGATATTATTTCTTCTTCAAACCTTGATTTCCATTATACCATTATATTAAGCCATGCCTTAACCTTGTAACTTTTTTCAGAAAGCAAAACATCCTGAAAAGGAGATGTTTGTAGAGAAAGATTTTTTCCTGTTTTAAAAGATCTCGTAGAGCAATGTAAGTGAAGAAATCATTGAATCATGTTACAGACTAATAAAATCTATTACCTGTAACTGAGCGAGATCAGGTTATCTCAGTCGAGGGTTAAGATTCTGGGGATGTTACAGAATCTTAACCCGAGACTGAGATAACCCGACCTTTCTCAGTTACAGGTAATTGATTTTTTTCTCGCACCTTTTTGTTAAAAAAACCCCTATTCAATTTCTCTAAAAACTGCAAGTATCCCGCCTTGGGCCTCAACTGATAATGACCTCTTCACTACTTAAGCTACATTTGAATGCTTCCGAGTAAAAATGTAGTCCATCCTTACATAGATTACAACGTATTTCACAGTGTATATTATATTTTATCTATAAAATATAATACCTAACAACATCAAAACTATACATATAACGACAAAACAGAACATTTATAATGCAAATTGTCAATTTTAAGCAGTTAACGCGCCGATGAATCATCGCAGTGTAAAAATTCCGCGAAATGTCACGTAAAGGTACAAGACAGATCGGACGAGATAGAAAAATCTACCATGGGGTATGACGTGGGATATCACTGTCTGAGGTGCGAGAAGCGATTGTCTTTATCCATAATAACTTTAAATTACAGGCGGTTGGGTATTTCAATGTTATTTAAACATTAATTCAGCGATTAAAAACGAAGTGTTGTTTTCTTACATGTATCTGTTATTACAATCAGAAACACTGCTTTAAGTCATTCTTTTTTTTAACTTTGCTGAAGGTAATAAAAGAAAAAAAAGATACTTGATTCGTTTTACTGTTAAAAGCAATAAGAATATATAATATATTTTATAGAAAAAATATGATTATCGACCGACAAAAAACTATCTGCTTTCACCCTTCACAGGGCTCTTCAGGTATATTATATATATATATCTCCGCGTCGCCAGTAAAACTCAATTTGTAACATTATAATCACGATATAACGCTCCCTAAAGGGCACAATAAAACGAGTTATATGAACGATTAAAAGAGAAACACCCCAAAAAGATTAAAACAGGAAGAAATTCCCAATTAAGTAAAACTATCGGACATGAAAAATTGGAATGTTGATGAAGATATTAAAGGAAATCAACATGAATGAATTTCCTGTGAGAGTTCTATATAAAAAATATCAATTAAGAATCGGACTAAGAAGAAGACAAAGTGTAAGTTGAGGAAACAGCAAAGACTTGAAAAAACAGTGAGAACTATAAATGTCATGGGTCTGATGGTTTTACAGTGAGCTGTTACATGTTTCTGGAAATAGTTCGGGATTTATTATTAGACAATTTATTTATGGCTACAACAACGGTCAATGGCCAGTTATACAAAGACAGCCCACAACAAAGGTCATAACTAAAGGTGATAAGCAAATACATCCAAGTTAAATAAAAAGGAGACTCTTTTAAGCTAGGGTGCTCCTTGTGTAATGTGTGCAACTTTTGCTTTATTCTATCACTCATTAATGTCTGAGGAGTAAGAGAAATAATTAAAGGACACAGCTATCCAAATTGCTTTTTTTCAAATTACGGTATCTAGAAAATATATATGTACCCATGAATATCATTTTAGGCAATGGGTTACAAAAAATGTGTCAGGTTTGCAACTTACCAACTAATGGGGTCAACTATTCAATCATAGATATAAATTCCAATAACTAATTGACCAAAAATGCTTATACCTGTAAACCAGGCTTTCGCTAAAATTAAGACAGCAATTTCTGTACATACATGTATGTAATGTAGAAACAATTAAACACATTTTATGGGAATTAAATGACGTTGAAAATGTCTTGATGAAGTTTAAAAAATGAAGTCCAATATTCGCCTTTACTTATCAATAAAGAGACGGCTATTTTGGACAAAAACGAAACAAATATATTCGAATAAATATATTCGAATAAATAATGGAATCATTTTGATATTTTTTTTTATATGGGATACCTTCTATCAACACTTCAAAATGAACGGAAATATGGAGAAATAAGTACAATTTACCTTAAACTTACTTCACAGAATAAACTGACGAAGAAAACATTTAAAATCTAGCAGAAGTCCAGTTTATCAAAACCACGAAAGTGTAGTGCAACACCCATGTTCTCTCTGATTCTAAATTCGCGCATGTTAACAGTCGACTGACCATATTAACAGTTCAACCAAATAGAAACTCAATGATCTAATTAAACCCTCTGCCTTATATGTAATCGATCATTAAGTTTTTGTACCTCTGTGACCTCTCGTTCCAAGTCTCGCCATATCACAAGCCGCTCGTTACTTTCTCCGTCGTGCTCCTTGAGGGGGTACAGTGCATGTCCAATGATGTTGTGCCGTTTATGCCGATCTACATCGTAAACTGTAAATTTTAATACTCTATCCTGCAGAGATCTGGTGGAAACCTGGAAAACAAAGAAGATATCTTTTAGACAAGAAAACAATTGTTCATGTCGTCATAAAGCCGACTTATTTTGGAGGTTTCAAGACGTTTCAACTATAAATTCTAATAGTGACATTAAGGAAAGAACAATTTGGTGAGGACAAACGCCAAAGTACCCAGTCTTAAAGTTTCACTTTGGAGAGTAAACACCGCCGATAACTTCTGACAATCCGTCAAGTGAAGAATCGGTCTTGGTCTTAACGTTAACCAGACTGTCGGATTTAAAGTGTTTCTAAATGATACTTTTATAGCTAGACATATCTATGTTATCGTGACTTGATAATGATACAGCATTGTACGCATGTATTACGTCATGTGGCAGTGACAAAATACAAGGACACTTACAACGTTAAATTATCACCTTGTCAGCAATTCGTTATAAGACATACATGTACAATGTAGTTATCAGCAAAGCATAAACTGCACATTCTGCATAAAATGTTGGCCAACTTATGATGAAAGACTGCTATTTCTTTAACCGAGTAACTAGCATGACAGAAACATGCTCAGAGCGCAGACAGCAGCGCTATATCATACGTAAACGATGCATGATGAGTTTGTAAATGTTTTTCTATCTTTATAAGCTAGCATTGTCTATATGATTTAACGTGCATCGGTCAGAAAATAAATCGTTATTCCAGGAAAATTGTTCATATATATCATTCTTTATACTTTTCACATTCACAAGATTAGACATCGAAATCAACCAAAAAGTGTGATATTGAGACTCAACTCTATCAACTTACTTGAAACACGTAGCTTTCCTCATACTTCGGGTTACATGTCTTCTTTTTAAATTTTGATTGGAGATAGCGTCTCTCGTCTGGCATCAAATATATTCTGTAAAACATGGACAACGTTTAAATCAATACTGGACACAACCATGTCGAGTTTGTTGCACTGCACAAACTGCATGGTTTAATTCTATTTATGTAACATTGTTGTTACCAAATCAGGGACCGTGCAATACGTTAAACACCATTTACAATTTAACTGATACAAGGTTATACCATTATTCTATTTTATTTCACTTACACAATCACATCTCTGACTTAAGAATCTTTTCTCGTGGATATATATTACCATTAGAAACATTAAGTTTCTCTAGTACCATTTAATTTCCTTTAAGCGTTCAGCGCATTGTCTCGTTTTTACCTAATATAGTAACTTAAATTAGGTGCCGCAAAAGATTTTTTGCTATTTTTGTTTCGTTGAATTCTCAAAACAATCAAACACTTCCCCTTTTAGCATCAAAGATTTTAAATCGAACGAGTCAAACTGATTTCTTTTTCGAAAATACGCCTGCACATCTAATAATGCAAACATTCGCGAATGCATTAATTTGTAACGTATAGATAAAATATTGTGATTCATTTTTGTTAACAGAAAGTTTTTTGAGGAAATGACAGTTTTCAAAGTAATAAAAAGCGGGCGTCTTGATTTTTTATCACTTTACTGTGGATTATAACGGGTCTAGCGGGGAGAGGAATTGATTTGTCGGCATTGTGGTCATCAGAATTCTGAATACCACACTGCCAATAGGTATTACAGTGAACACCAAGCTGCCATACAATTCTTAAACGTTAAACTGTGTTTTACGACGCGAACTCATGCCAACCATATCCCCTGAGTAGTTCTTCTGTTCTTGCACAAACCTAAACTTGCGGGCACAAGATGTAAGCTTGACCAATAATACGACAAGCCTAATTCGTGCCACGAACCCAACATATATCTAAATCGTGTGCGGTAAGTAGTTCATTACATACAAATGAAGATGTATCACCACGATTTATCGAACAAGAATACACTCTCTCGTCTAAACGCTTTGTCCGACATTTCGGTACCCTCATGAAGGAATCTCTAATCAGTCTACCAGACGGACCGTGGCCAGCTATCACTGGACATACAAGACATTGACGCAAATGATGCATATATAAATTAAGGTTACGTTTTTAGCATGGAATTGTCGGACTGATATAAAAGAGCTACAATGTAGTCGGATCAAGATGTAATATGTTCATAGATGTCCAGAATACATTATACCTTTAAATACAGTATTCTTTGATTTCATTAATGTATACGGAATCAAAACTTTGAAAAAGAAAATTATGACGCGCGATAAATGTAAATACATATATACTCTTTTAAGAGAAATGATTCAGTTCAATGCAATGTTGGCTAAACAGGTTTTATTATTTGAAACCAGTACTTGTATTGATATTTATATTTTACAGGCATTCGCACTGCAAAATATGTTTATGCCAAGAAGAAGACAGAAATGACCAATGATGCTGTAACGTTTAAGATAAAAACGGTAGCGACAATGTGATGGCAAGATTTATACCAAAACACTTAAATTCCTAATTAGTTTATCCGTTTTCTCAAATGATGCGAAACATTTTCAAATATATCACGTGTGTAACTGACGAAGGAAACAGTTCCGTGCTCGTGCTTCCTCTCAAGGGAGTGCTTTATATACAAATTGGACAGAAATGTATCGGGATGACCCACATAATTGTTCAGTACTCCTGCGAGACATTACAGTCATCGGACATATAGACAGGTACCTAAAACTACTGGCGACCTTATCACTAAAGGAATGCATACACATGCATACTAATATATGTATGTATGTACGAAAGTCGTCTTGGGTGCTTTCGATTGGGCCAAATCGATTTGTACACCACACCAATTTGTTATTATTCGTTAAGAATATCTTTAGTTGGCGTGTGCAGACCTTCTCCATTTCGCGTTGTAAATCGCTCCCGACAGCAATTTTTCTTCCTCAGTATTCACTAATCACTGGGAAGTCGCTATTTTTTCACGCAGGCTCGTCGAGATAGCCCTTTCATCGCCACGGACATCAATACAAGCTCCAACCCAGGATGTGTCTTAGCCATGACTTCCGGTCGAAAAATAGATACAAACTTGATATGCATTCGTTCGTCAATATATGTTGGACAAAATATGTGAACATGGTAAGTTGCTCGATAAACATGACTTTCATCGTATGCAATTTCCGGGAAATAGGCTTTCGTGTACAGGGAAGATTTGCAACTCAATAGAAATATTGACACCATATTTTACTTTGTTTTTTTCGCTGAAGAGGGAAGCACTTCCTGTGCTTGTACCGTCTGATAGGCTGTTTAGGAAAACGTATTGGCTATACCCCAGGCACATAATTTCCGCAAATACAGTGTCAATTTACACAGAAATGACCAATAATATCTGCAGTATTTACAGCGCTTCAAGATCTGACAGTTCTCATATATGGACCATTGTTTCAGTAACCTTACTAGAATATATTCAAAGATTCACGCAAATAGAAAACACCCTTATAAATAATCTTCTGTGGTCCTTATAACCACAGAAGATTTATTTGTTCATTACCATCTCATTTGATTTTTAAATCACCACTGTACCCTAGATTCTCACTCCGATCAAGGCCATTGCTTTTTAACGAGGTTTTCTGAGGGAGGGGGATCTTATCAGAGCGCGCTAGATTTGGTGCCGAGTCCACGTATGTCTTCAACTGAACGAGTGTATAAAGGATTGCCAGCAAACACACTAACTGCTTCAAATAGACGACACAGTGTGTGCGCAAACGCACCGAAAAATACAATCGAATAATAGAGTGACATATCTGTAAAAAATATATACATTGTATATTTGATTTGTTTTCGTTCAGACTTAGCAGTAAATGTACATCCACAACATCTTACATAAACAGCTAATTATTGTGGAACTTTCTCTTCGCGTTCACACCATCTGAGAGCTGTGTACGAAAAAGTCTCAGACAGTTTAACAGTTAAAACCAGATCTCACTCAACGTTCTTTCTTAAATTCCATCTAGAATAATAAAATGAAAATGTCAATGTATTTGGGTAATATTTATAGCCATCACATTGTGTCAACTTGAGTCGGATCGAGCCGATAGTTGCTTCGATAGATGTGACGTTTACGGGTATGTACGGAACATTTCGCCTTTATATCCTTCCCATGTGTGTTGTGTGGTTTGAAAGTGGCTCCATTTGTCAGAACTACCTTTTACCTCAGTCAGCACATAAACAGATATACGGATTCAAAATGACATTTTAGCATAAACATCTGGCCCAAGAGTCACTTACTATTGTCTTTTCCTGTTAAAAAATTAGTTCGTGCTTCGACACCTATCTACTTCTCAATCAGAAAATTTACATGCCTTGGTGTCAATCCTGATATGACAATACTGACCTTCATTATTACTACCTATCCATTGCGTAGTAATATTTCTAATATTAATGAAAAAGGGATGAAAAGAATGAGGAAGAATATGGGACGTAATATAAAAACGAAGTAAAATTATACAAAAATAATTTATTTTTCATGCTGATCTAATAAAAATAATGCCGTCGCTTCTACCAATAATATCAGAAAAAAACAAATATCATTTCTTAATGTTTATTTGGTGTCAGGTTAACTTGGCAGAAAAATCGAATAATTCCAGAGAAGAATAGGGGACATCTCTTACCTAACGAAAGGATCACAGCTGCTATTGTTGCCGTACTGTCGCGTTGGAAGGTTTTTGGATTTGATCAAGGTCACCAGCAGTTTTTCTGTTTCTCTCTCATACTCGACCGCAAACCATACTCTCCCTATGTGTTCTGATGGAATCTCGTAATCGTCGTCCTCGTCCACAATTTTATACAGGCTCGGGTCTATACTACCGAGAGCGTAGGCACCTGGTAACAGAAGAAAGATCGGCATATTGAAATATACGAAGAGATGTAGCAGTGCGTCTACCACTAAGAAAGTTATATAATCATGTTCGTATAGGACAACCAGTAAAACGTGTATGCATGACGCTCCGATGACATTGGAACGTTTTGTTCTTTGTTATTTTCATCAAGCAAATGACCAGATACACGCATGTACACTTGGTGCTGAAATGAACGAGTTGACAATCAAATTTACAAGCTGGAATATATGTCGATATGGCTACGCTATCAGCAAATGTACACTGTCGACAAAGTACGAGACGAGAAATAATAGGCAAATCGATTCGGCTACTCTTTGTTTGATATCTGGTCATCTCGCCAATTTGATTGATAACCTTTAATTCTTTTTACTGGTCATTTGTCTGGTGACACATATTACTGAAGTCATCAAAATGTCGCACAATATTATACTGAATGTATCAAGCCGTAACATTGTGTTTCGAAATACGAAAGACAGGTGTTGCTCGGCGAGAACATTGTCCACTACACGCCAAAGTATGTATTAGTCGGACCATAGAAAAAGGCTGTGAAATATCAATATTTTCAAATGGTTCTAGATGGTTTGCAATCTCTCCATGCACAGTAAACATGAAATTCCTAACAACGGTTGAGGTGTCCCAAGTATATCCTGTTGAGAAACCTATTTTTCCTTTAGTGGCTGTAACAAATGTAACTCATTCCTATGACTGTACAGTATTCTACAATATACAATTGCAACACTATCTCAACAGGGTTAAATTCATTAACATGTTGCAATGTAGAAAAATGCCATTGAAACATATCTTATTGTGTTTTTTTTTTAATAAATAAAGTGATGAACGCTTTGTGTGTGCTTAAACGTGCGAGTTCTAAATATTAACATCTGTTGATGAGTTACAAACTTTGCTAGTTAAATGTATTTCAACGTTTCGCAGACTTGTTGATATTTTAAACATTTTCTTGACATGATGAGTCCTTGTTGAGTCCTAAGCTTTCTGTTTCCTTAAATTGAGGTTAAAGAATTTGCTTATTATGTTTTCATGTTTCTGTAGTATTGTTATATTCTAATGTTTTAAACTTTCGAAGGCTTACTGAATTATTAGCTTTCTCATGTCTTAATGAATTTTAAGCTCTCATCAGTTTATAATAATCTTAGATCAATACATTCTTAGTTTTCTGATGGCTCACGTGTTCTACTAAAATGTTTGCTAAATGTGGTTTAACATGCCATATTCGAATAATCAATAATAATAATAATATTTTTTTTATTACGCATACAGAGACATATGACATACAATAAAATACAAAAAGTAGTTAAATAGTACAATACATTATTAAGATAACCTATTATATTGTATCACTAAATATCACAGAATTGCATTTAGAACATTAGAAAATATCACAGCATATTACAAGTCAATACATACATATATTTATCACATGGTAATTTAAGGATTATCTCATGAAATTATAATAAACAGAACCATAGGGATAATTTCAAATATTGTATTTTAAAATATACATATAGTATATACCATATAGTTCTCGGCTTCCCAATGATTGGGAATCCCCTACCTACTTGGTCCGCCGGTAACACATGGTATTCATGATCTAGTATTTTTAAAATAATTGGCCAGATATGCATTTTAAAAAGCCAGAACATTTGTTGTGGTTCGTATGGTTTCTTCCAAAGTATTCCATGAAATAGTACAAGTGTATCTAAAAGAATTTTTGTAAAAACTTGTTCTACACTTGGGGATATAGATATAGAGCTGGTTCATTGCAGAAGATCTTGTGGTTCTTGTGGAAATCTGGTTTACATAGGTAAATAAATTTTGTTTAAAAAATCCTGGAGCCTGGTCGTTCAGGATTTTATAAGTTAGAACACATTTTCTAAAAGTATAAAAATCGTGAATAGGCATCCAGTTTAAAGTCTTTTAAAGTAACGAAGTTGGTGTACGAATTTCTCTAATATTTAGAATTACTCTTGCTGCTCTCTTTTGAAGTTTAAATATTCTTTCCTTCATGGACACATTTGTAGGATTGCTCCATACTGAAGAACAGTACATAAAATGAGGTAAAACAATAGTCGTATACACCATTTTGGACATTTCTTGGGACATGAATTTTCTGATTCGTTTTAACACTCCAATTTTCTTTGATAATTTCTTACATACATATTCAATATGTACATTCCATGATAAACAGCTGTCATTAAAAACTTCCAGCAGTTTGGCAAAAATAGTGGCCCAGTATCGAACCCTGGGGGACACCGATGTTTATTTCCTTACAACTTGATAAAGTGCCTTTAAAGTTTACCGCTTGCACTCTAACGGAAAGGTATGATTCGAAAAAGTTCAATGCTATATCAGAAACCCCGTAAGCATTAAGCTTATGCAAGAGCACTTTATGATTTACGGTATCAAATGCTTTACGAAGATCTAAAACAAAACACCCGTGAATTAACCGTCATCAAATTTCTTTTGACCACTCGTCTACTTAACCTGTGAGGGCCGTTTCTGTTGAACGATGAGGTCTGAAACCATATTGGGATTCAGTTAGAAGTTCATTTGATGAAATAGGTCGATAGTTATTTACAGAGGTCATGTCCCCGGCTTTAAATATTGGGTTGAATTTGGCTTTCTTCCAGTCTTTTGGAAATGAACCAGAACTGATGGATTTGTCAAAATGCAGATAAAAACATTCCTCCTAGCCATTTATCTCAAATATCATTTTTTCAATTTAGATTTTCTAAATAATGCCTAAGATGTTCCGTGACATTATTGTAAAAGGACTCGTTGTTTAATGGTTTAATCAATGGCATTCGGTGATTCAAAATACGGGTTTAGACGGGATTCCGCAGCTACGGCATTATTAACTCTATTTTATTGTCATTAAAAAGTCATTGTTAATATTTTGATGTGATATTATTTGACTCCTTATAGTTAATGTGGCTCTTGACGTGGTCAATTGAAATATCATTTAGAGAGATTTTACCTCAGAGATTCTTTCACTATGAAAGCGAATAACTGAAGTTCGTTTTCACCAACGTTCATACTGAGATTAACTCACTATTAGAGCGAATATTGGCGTGGTCAAATTAAACGACGTTTACATTTATTTTAATTTCAATGTTTTTAGCACATATATTAGATTCAAATGTGTTATCAGTCATCTCTATGTCGCAACATATTACCGTGTAAGAAAAACGTTATCTTTCTTTGGCAGAGAATAGATAAATTGTTACAGGAATCAAAAAATATTACAGGAATCGATTAAATATAACAGACTGTTTAGTCAAGTTATTGCTGATACATAACTGTTATCCTATATATTCCTGTAATAGTTGATCGTTTCCTGTAATAATTTATTGATTCCTGTAACATCTGGTTAATATATGATATTTTTATTTGTTATATTTTGTTGGTTCCGGATGGAGGATAACTTTCCGTTTTTTAAACTAGTCCATCCCTATAGAAGTAGTCACGTGATGTTTTGGTGTACTAAAGTCACGTGACCTGTGCAGAATATTTTTCCATGCTGACATTTTGAAAAATCTCCTTAAAAAATCAACCTTTTCCCTACTTGGAAGAGTGCTGGGCATCTGCTACAGAAGGGGTTCACGCAAAAGAGGCGAGGCTAGCTAATAGCAGGGATATCCTCCCTCGGCTTTTGCCGTAAGTACTGTCAATTCAAACGTTTCCTGTGGAAACATCGGTGACGCTTAGCCCGCCAGTTTGTATTGTTTGTAAACAAACGCATGTGGGGAAGACTTGTCAAAGATGACGATTACTGCTATGCTGCTTGGTCATTCTTTCGTTAGACGGATTAAATCCTTTATGAACAGTTCGATAGATATTAGGGTGAACGGAAATTTCAATTTATGTCGAACGGAGGTACGAGTGATATGTGAAGGATTCAGACCAGGGCAATAACGTTACCGTTAGTGCAAGACAATGCCCCAGTTATAGTAATCTTACAGACAGCGTCAAACGATCTGTGTGACCAGGAAAAGTCGGCCGAGGTCATATTTCGGCAGCTAGTGGAACTAGTTGTGACACTTCGTTACAAATATTTAGTGCATCGTGTGATCGTCATGCAGGTGTTGCATAGGTCCCCTCCTTCACGACAAATTCGTTATGAGGTGGACACTGTGCGTTTTTTTTTTGTTCTTTGTACACCTTATTATAAAAATCAACACAAAAATATATACATATGTTCGATTTCTGGCATTTAGAATAAATGCTCTTCTTCGTCAGTTAAAGTGTTTGTTATTTTATCGACAAAAAACATAGCAGAGTATAACCTGTGTGTGCTGTTGGGTTTAGTGCAGACTAAACACGATCCTTTCCTTTCCTTTAATAATTGATCTATGCTAGATATATTTGATATACTCTTATAATAATAGATATATTCCTGTAAAAAGTGACATTTTCCTGTTATAATTGATATATTCCTGTTATAATTAATACATTGCTGTAATAGTAGATGTATTCTTGTAATAATTGATTTATCCTGTAATATTTGATCTCTAATTGTAATAATTATCAATTTTTCATACTGTTTATACTGCTTTTGTTGATATTTACCAACAATAGTCTTTTATTTTGGTGAAAAGACAAATCTAATGTAACAATTAAGAACTTGTTTTATAGTTATATGAATTAAAAATGTTGTACATGTATCTGACCAGGAATATCACTTTCCTATGCCCATATAGTCACATTTCACCGAAGTAAAATTCTGATCATTTTATAAGAAATGTTATTGTGATATTTATATATATTTTATAATAAACAATCGCAATTGCTGATTACCATCCCTGAAAAAAAATACAATAAATATCATAGATATATCCTCGCAAAAATAACGATCAACAGTCACCTTGGTGAGGGTCATTTCATATTTACAGTTATTGTGTGGGTGGTATTGATTACAGAGCAAAAACGAGACATAGGACCAATACAGTGAATCATTATTAACTC